GGGGGGGGGGGGGGGGGCTTCTTTCGCCGTCACATCTCTAAATGAAACCCCCTCCCTTCCCTTCCACCGTCTGGTGGTGCTTAGGGTAGCTCTTGCTCGCCGCCGCCTTTAGACTTTTAGACCTTTAGACTGCTACTACTACGGTGGCCTTTGCTTTTCCGCCCATTTCGACGTTTCTCCTGTGGGCTCGGCGGCTAGGTACTGGTTTCCTGATGTGCTCTGTCCGGCCGTATCACCGCATTGACCACCACACAAGTCACTCCTGGTTGGTAACTTACTTCTTACGACTATACTCAGGACTGGTGCAGTGTGTGTGTAGGTACTTGTCGCTCCCTGGAGTATCCGTCTTTCTCTGATCTATGTCAGCAGCTTCACTCGCCTGTGGTTCGTCTTCCCCCCCCCCTCCCTCTGGTCCGCCTTCCCGTGCCCCTCGACCCCCCGGGGTTCAGGTCCTCCGCCCCTTCCTGCTGCGCCGTACAAAGCGGGAGGTGGCTTCGGAGCTGCCGGACAAACACCGCCACATCATCAGGTGTCCGTTGTCGGCGTGGCAGGTAGGGTGGGCCCAGCAGGGTTGGACAGGACGTTCCTGAAATGGTCGGGTTACCGGTTTTCCCCTTCCCATGCCCGTCGGGCCCACCCGATAGCGTTTTTGCATATCTTTCAATTTCTGTCGGGTGCCCCGATAGCACATCCCAAAACCTGTCGGGTGACGCAAGAACGAAATTTCGCTGTGTGCCGCTTGAAATTACATTTATTCGTATTTTATATGCGCAGTTTCCAGTTCTCAGCTTGCAGTTCACAGTTCTGATATGCACGAACAAACACACACACAGCAACAACATGCACGCCTGCACGTCTGCCTGTGAGCATCACAACCCGAGCTCTTCAAGGAGACCCTTAGACACCGTAGGACTGGAGAGGAACATCTCCTCGTCCTCCTCTTCGTCCCCCTCATCGGCAACCTCACTGCCAGACTCACTGGCAGTTCTGAATCCCACGGCACCTGATCGGGCGGTCCTAGCGCCCCTAACCCTGTCGGGTCCCCAGACGGGAGCCCTCCGGGCCCCGTCGGGGGCTCCCGATGGCCGTTTGGCGCTTTCCCCCTTTTTCGTCGGGTCCGCCCGAAAGCATTTTCCAAAGCCTGTCGGGATTTTCAGCACAAGTGCCATTCCTGTCGGGACCCGATCGGACTGTACCACCCTGGTGGGGTGGGGTGGGGTGGGGTGTGGGGGGATCTGGAGTGAAGGCCGAAAGCGGTGGGGGACGTGCCCCCGGTGTGTATTTGGGTGATGTACAGCTTGGGTCACATTTGTCCTTATCGGTACATCCGGCCTCGGTGTGTCGTACATACGAGTACGTATGTATGTATGTATGTATGTATGACTTAGATTACACTGTATGTATGTATGTATTTCTGACCTGGCAAACCCTGCCCCCTGCCCCCGCACTCAACCCCCCTACCTGGGTCAGGCTGAGCAGTACCGACAAATCAGTGAGAGGGGTCAGCTGATGGCGGCGTCGGGGAAGGTGCGTATGTATGTCTGTGCTTATTGGGGGCCGCGGAAGGACGAATGAAACCCGTTGGAAGGTTGGGGAAGGTGCATGGAGCCGAGAGGGAAACGGGGGGGTTCAAGGAGGGTCTTAAGTCTGGATGGGGCCCTGAAATATGTACGACGGTGGGGTTGCGGAATGAGGTAATAGTGTAACGGCGAATATGTATACTGAGGGAGAAATTGTCAGATTGTTTGAGCCGTACGGCAGACCAGGGCGATCATCCCCGTTACCCCCCCCCCGACAAACACAGCACCACACACCTCCCCCCCCCGTGCAGACTCGCGCTCTGGCCAATTTGTCCGTACACCTACGTAAGGCCGCCATCCACCCGTACCTCTTGGAGGAGGAGAGGGGGGAATACACACATACACACACGCACTCGGGGCTGGGCCCCGGGGGAGAAAGAGGGGAAGTGGGAGGAGAGGAGCTCGTCCGGGCGAGTGGAAAGGTACGGCACAGTAGGGGTGGGTCTTGTTGGTTGGTTGGTTTGTTGAGTAGTTGGACCAGGTGTATTCAGTTGCCTCTTTCCCCCTCTCCTTCACGCCGATACATACATACATACATACATACATACATACATACATACATACATACATACACATACACATACACATACACACACAGATGGCCATGCTGGACTACCTCCTCCCCAAGCTGGCGGCCACGGGCCACCGAGTGCTGCTGTTCAGCCAGATGACCCGGGCTCTGGACCTAGTGGAGGTGAGGGGAAGGGGGGGAAGGGGGGGAGAGGTTTGGAAGGGGGGAGGAGAGACGTATGTACGACATTGGATCTGGTTTTCTTGGTGGCAGTTAACTTTTGAAGCCCCAGGAACATTTGTCGTACATGTAGCCCTGGCCTTGCCGCCTGCCTTTCCCCCTCCCACCCCCTTCTGTTAAGAACCCTCAAGCCCTCCACCCCTCCTCCACAACCCCCGCCCACACATACATACGCACATACACAATTGCCAGGAGTTTCTGGAGCTTCGTGGACTGCCGTACCTCCGTCTGGACGGATCCACCCGTACAGAGGACCGGCCCCAACTGCTAACCGCCTTCAACTCCCCCAACTCCCCCTACCGGGTGTTCCTGCTGTCCACCCGGGCGGGGGGGATGGGGCTCAACCTGCAGGTGTGTGTGTGCGTGTGTGTGTGTGTGCGTGTGTGTGTGTGCGTGTGTGTGCGTGTGTATGTGTATGTATGTGTATGTGTTGGGGATTTAGAATGGCGCCACCGGGCTGAACACGGCCGTCACCCGACGTGTGCCAACCACCCGTAACGGATCCCCTGTCGTACTCATACCCCCAAATTACCCCTCTACACTTGTCGTACAACCTCCTTTAACCCCCCTCCTCACGCCCCCCCTCTCCCCCAGTCAGCTGACACGGTGATTATGTTGGATTCGGATTGGAACCCGGCCATGGACCAGCAGGTGGTACGGGGGGGGGGGTTGAGGGGGGGGTTGAGGGGGGTGAGGAGGGGGTGAGGGGGGTGAGGGGGGTGAGGGGGGTGAGGGGGGGGGAAATCGGTAAAATAAATCCTGACTGGATTCGAACCCGAACGGCCCCTCCTTGTGTTCCCGCTTCCTAAGTGTAAGCGAGCTACCCGACACGAGCCTGAGCTGCGTACGGCAAATCGCCACCGACCACCGACCTGAAGGGAACAAGGGGGCTTCCAGGGCGGTTGGAGTTGGTTGGCGCCCATGTCCGTGTTGGTTGGCTGCTTACCAAACCCCTCTAAACCCGTTTCCCTCACCCCTTGTTCCCTTGCACATACATACGTACACATGTACGCACTCTGTTAGGCTGAGGACCGGGCTCACCGCTTGGGCCAGACGCGTTCCGTGTTGGTGCTGGTGTTGGTTAGCTGTCGTACACTGGAGGAGGTCATGTTGGAGCGCGCTGGAGCCAAGAGGGGGCTGGGGGAGGCGGTGATCGGGGCGGGGCTCTTCAACGAGCGGGCCGCGCCGGCGGAGAGGCAGCAGGTGGGGCTGGGGGGGGTGAGGGGGGGTTAGGAGGGTACGACCGGACCAGACCGGGGCTGGAGGGGGGAGGAGGGGCCAGTCATGTGACCGTGGGCTCTTAGACCGGAAGATGGGGGATAGACAGATGGGTGGGTGTTACTCTGGCTCCAGGGAGCTGTACGGCCCAGCGGAGGAACCCGAAGGCTCGCCAACCGCTTCAATCGCATAAAGGAAAACTGGAAAAGATCTTCCGGAAGATCCCTTCGCAAACGGCTCTTAGGGTGCGCGACGTACCGGCCCCCCCCCCCCCACACACACACACACACGAACACCCTTTCCCCCGCCCGCCCCCAGGCCCTGCAAGCCCTCCTCCGTACGGGAGGTGGCGGGCTGCTGCATGGAGGTGCCCCCCCGCACACACTCGCGGAGGTTAACAGGATGGTGGCCAGGTGGGCCCTACGTTGGGGAGGCAGGCGGTCGGGGGATCAGGGGGCCCGAGGGGCGTTTAGAAGATCGGGTGTGCCCGTATAACCGCCCGTCTGACTGACTGTCTGTCTGTCTGTAAACCCTAGTACCTCCTACCCCCGGGGCCCGCCACCCGCAGGTCGGAAGAGGAGCTCCGAGTGTTTGAGGAGTTGGACGAGCAACGGCGGACTGAGGCCGTACGGGCGGCAGCAGCGGCGGGTCGGTCAGCATCCCTACCGCCGCTGATGGGTGAGGACGAGCTGCCGTACTGGGTACGAGCCAGGGAGGGGGCGTTTGGAGGCGGTGAAGAAGAGGAAGAAGGAGCCGGGGTCGGAGGCAGGGAGCCTGGGGACGATGGTGGCAGCGACATACGGGTAAGTGGTTGGTTGGCTGGTTGTTGGTTGGAAGCGTGAGGAAGCTCCGGGTGCCGTGCGGGGATCGAACCAGGGATTGTACGGTTCCTATCGCCAATCCTATGTATCCTATCTTATCAACTTGCTCGTTCAATAACATATCGGATCGGCTGACGGCGGGCGCCGTACATCTGCACTGATGCATTCAGATTATTGTTGCCGCTGCCTATCTGCCTTTCTGTGTGTTTGTCTGTCTGTATGTGAGTAATTTGTGCCTTTACAGCTAGCCCTACCCCCAAATCGACGCTTAAACCGGTGTTGAGGATCTGGATTTTGGAACCTAATCTGGAACCTTGTTTTTGAACCTCAACTCCAAGAGGATCTGGATCTTAC